AGGCAAGGTATAGCTATTCTATATCTTCGACCCGAGGTAGCTAAGCTATATCTCGACTAGCGGACCCGGTACTAATCTAACCCTACCTAGTAAATAGGCCCGCCTATTCTATTTTCTAGTAGAAGGCACTCGAGGCCTCTAATATAATATTGCGTTCCGCTCCGTATAAGATAGGGAGAACAAGTATCGGCCCTAGATATTAGAGAAGGCATAGAATAAGGCTAGCTTTAGATATACGGACTAGCAACCTAAGATATTATAGAAGTAGGGCGTTAGCGACGTATACCTAAAGGCTATTAACGAGCTAGAGTTTAGAGGTAATTAATAGCTATATCTAAAGATATCGCGATTCCGGTAGTACCTAAATCGGTAGAAATGAAATAAAAATAGTCCTACTCTTACCGTCGCCCGTATCTAACCGTATATTTTACTCTCCTTTTCTATACTCGCTACCGCCGCGAAAATTATACCGACCGCGTACGCTACTAATCCTCTATTTACTCCCTACTCTTTCGGCGTCGCGAAATGCTAGTAAGACGTATCGATCCGCGCTATTCTAATAGCGAAAAGGGAGTCCCTCTCCTAAACCTCGCCTGCTTCTTATATCGTCTCCGCTAGTCCTCTATTTACTACCTACGCTTTCGTCGTTGCGAAATGCTAGTAAGACGCATCGATCCGCGCTATCCTAACGGCGAAAAGGGAGTCCCTCTCCTAAACCTCGCCCGCTCTTCGCGTCGTCTCCGCTAATCCTCTATTTACTCTCTACTAATACTATATATACTTCTATAGCGAAGAAAGGCGAGGTCGGATAGGAGCGGCTTTCTAATATGTAACCGGAGCTAAGCGAGCGGGGACGCTTATAGCCGCTACGTAAATAGAGACCTCTAGCTAATTAGGTAGTCCTAAAGGTTATACCCTCGCTAGTTATTTAAAGCTAGCCCTAGTTAGCGAGATGCCGAACTATATTCGCTCGAATATATTAGCCGACTATACCTTTAAGGGTATAGTAAAATTAGTGCAAGGCGATCTACGATCTACTAGATCGTCCGGATAGGGGGTTTAATTCCCTTATTAGCTATAACTTTTTTTTTAATCTATATAATTATCTATATTCTATAACCCTCTAGCTAATTAGATCGGTTCTAGATAGTAAGAGTTATTCGCTCGTAGTCTTTATAGAGATACGGGGTAGCGACTAGCGAGGGTATAACTTTTAGCATTAGAGGTTCGAATCCTCTATTAGCTATCCTTTTACGCTCGCGTAAGGCGGCCGGCTATAGCCGCGAATTCTAGAGTTCCTATACGTGATTTTCCCTATATCTAGGAGCTACCGCGCTAAGCGGGAGCGCCCGCGTGTTTTAGGGATACTAGAACTTTATATATATAAAAAAAACCCTCTAGCCTTCTAAGGTGCGTGCTTTCTTATCTATACTAAGACGAGATAGAGACTAAAACTAAACGTATCGGTCTATCTAGGGCCTCTAACTTGTCCGGTACCGCCGTCTATTTAGAGAGCGTATTATCTTTACGTATAGCAAGAACGAGATATAGCTTTAAATGCACCCTACGCGCCGCTACGCTATCGAAGACGTCGCGTAAGGGTAAATTACGGCCTAGAGACGATAATAAGTATAGAAAGTTTATAGACTAAAGGAGATAGATTACTCTACCTACGATACCGTACTTAGGCTCCTCCGCCTTCTTTCTAAGTTACGATAGCGTCTGTCTCTAAGGCGCGAGCACCGTGCTTATAGTAGTCCTAAGGAAACGTACTACTCTCCTATTCCTATATATATCTCTAGACGATAAAACTCTCTATTCCTACGCCCTATATCGAGGATTACTATCGCGTCGTCTATATCGATTTAAGTATAACCGAAATTAGCAGCATTCTATACTAACTATAGCCTTCTTTTTATATCGAAGTCCCTTCCCGCCTCTACGTCGAAGAAGTCGTAGTATTTAATATAGCTATCGTTTCGCGGGAAGTCGAAGGGTTAGTTATATTATAGCAAAGCATCGATAGCGCTAGAAAGATAGATTTCCTCTAATAACCGTAGGTCGTACCTAACTAGGACCCTCTATACGAAGGTACTATCCGTTCGGCTCGTTATAGTAGGATATGCGTATAAAGGAACGACGACGAAGCGATCTATACTAAACGACTATATAGTAGTAAGCTTTATCTACGCGAATTCGATCTAGAACCGGTTAGTAAAAGCGCTATATTCTTAGGGTACGCGACGGATATACCTAGCGATAATACCGAGGAAATAGCGAGTTAGACTTTTAGAGGTATAGTCTTAGCTCGAACTCGTCGAGTTCGTCGAGCCTATTAGTATTTATATATAGATTAACGTAGACGATAGACCCTTCTATTTGCTCTTCCCGTTACGCCTAAGTAGTAACAACGTTAAGGTTACCGTCTAGGTACTTGTCCTACGACTACTTAGGTATAGAGATCTATAGGAGTTAGCTTTCTACTACTATATACTAGACGATATACGAGAACATATACTATGCATTCTTCGTCCTAAGACTCCGTCCGCTAGTAGATCTTATTTATAACTAGAGATACTAATCTCGATATATACCTAGACAGCCGGTAATCTATAACGCTATAGTATAGAGATTTAGAAGAGAAGCCGTTATTCTTATCTATATTACGGTTCTCGTATACGCGGCGTAATACCTCCTTAGTAACTAGCTTATATATGTCTTATAGCGCTTCTTAATATACCGGGGCCCGGCCTATAGCGAGCAGTTAGCGAAGTCGTATAGAAGCGCGGGGGTGCTTAATCTCGGCTATAGCGCGATTTAATTCCTAATAATAAAAGGCTCGCTACGGTATACTATATAGAACGTCTATCTCTATAGCTCGATATTAGCAAAGGTAGCGTATAGCGACTAATACGCTAGAGACTTACTATTAGGGAGGGCTATAGTAGCTAAGACTATATAGGAGGGGCGCCTTTATCGAGGTCGCTACTAGTAATATCGATAACTAGAAGGAGGTAAATATAGCTACGTAGAAGTAGTCGCTATATTAGTTATTATAGTAGTAATATTTAGACGACGCGTAACGCTGCAATATTACTATTTATATACGTAACCGTCGCTATGCGCTAAGCCTATACTAGCTAATAGATATAAAGCGACAATATAAAGCGACGATATAAAGCGACCCGCGATAATAATAACGGCCTCTTGCGACGCGACGACGAATACTCGACCTTACGCTTACTACTCTAGCTTAGATCCTACTACTATAACGTCGGCATCGTCGCTAGGGAGGTATTAATACGAACGAAGTCGTTAAGGACTTAAGTTAAGGCAAAGGAGCGCGTCGTCTGCCTCTAGCGATATAATCCGGTAAAATATGTCTTCTAGAGCTATAAATTTATATCGTATCGAGGGATATAAAAAGATGTCCGTTAAGTAGATAGCACGCTAAAAATTATAATAAATATACTAAGATTATCGTAGATTTCCTTTTGCAACCTCCCTAAATACTATATTCTCCCTTACGCTCTATACTACGATTGCCCGCGCCTTAGTTTATTATAACGCTCGACTTGCTACGATACTCCTCTAGCAGGGCGAGACCGAATAATAATAAGGAAGGCTTTCGCCGGACGGGAGCGCTATATATAGTTAAGAGACAACTCCGCGTTACTACCTAGTCGAAGCCTATACTATTACGAAGGAGCCGGAAATAGTCTAAGAAGTAGGTTATCTTAGCGTACTTATCGCTAAATAGGGCCGGGAGCTATACCGTCTGTTCCTAATCGCGAGTAGTACTCTCCGAGAGTAAGGCGACGCTAATACTATAGCTAGATATCGTATCGAATTAATACTAGATCTCGAGGACCTTTATAGCCGCCTTATTAGCGACGTTGTTATAGAAAAGGCTAGTAGCGATATAAAACACCTTAAGAGGCTTCGCGATAGTCGATCCTTCTACTAGCTACGATTCGAATATCTACCTAAGGTCTAGCTTCTAAGGGACGATACTAAACGAAAGAAACAAGCCGAACCGCCGTAGATCGAGAATCCTCTATAGCGGGCTAAGTAGTAGCGAGTCTTACTATATCTTCGTAAAGAAAACTACCGACTCTTACGGTAATTTCTACTAAGTACCGTAAACCTCCTTATACTAGAATTATTAGCCGCTATATCGGAGTACGACCGCTACTATACTACTTACTATAGCTTTCTATACCTCGGACCTTTTAAGACTATAATCTTAAGCGTACGTCTTTATAAGTATTACGGTAGGCCTCGAGAGACTACGATAGGTAGTTAGTAGCGGGTCCTCGTTAGATCTATACTAGTACGACGCGAATAAGTACCTAGCGGCTAGGGGAGTTAGATCGAGGTTAGTTCTAGTAGAGTCTATAATAGTCGATCGCGATATTAGGTTATTATAGTAGCAATTAATAACTACGCGCCTACTAAAGTCGTTATATCTCCGGACGTAGGCGCGTTATACGCGGCTACTATAATCGTATATACGACGCGCGCCTTCCTTAGGACTCGCGAGCGAAGGATACCGTAATTTCGTATAGCTTCTTAAAGACTATAGAGGTCGATAGAGCTATAATAGCGACTAAGAGGGTCGATAGTGTCGCATTTATAAGACCCCGATAGCGGAGCTCGCGATAGTAGGGCCTCGGTACCGGTCGTACGTACTAAATTACGCTTCCCGTAAGGCTACTAGCGCGATCGAGTATACCGCTTCGAGTAAATACCGCCGAATAAGGTATATACGACGAAGACGCCCTTTTCGAGACTACTATCGAAGTTATAGCTCGTCGCGGTATATACTACGACGTCTACGCCTTTCCGAATCGCTAAGGTATTAACGTTCCTCGCGTCTACTAATTAGAGGCCGCGGTTAGCCCGTTTTAAGCCGCACTAAGCCTAAAGGGGCCCCAACTTTTGTTAAGTTGTTATATTATTAATATTATTAAAGATTGGTTTCAAGTCTCTAGCGTGTCCGGAGATTTTAAGCTCCTTTGATTGCTCGTAAATAAGAAGGGTATCTCTGTTCTTGGTTCCTGTTCGACGCCAACCTAATGCATACTGAACCTTGGTTTTACATCCACCTTCTAACGATAGGTATCGATGTATACATCTCATCATATTGCCTGCCTACCCAGCCTAGAGCCTCGCCACCTCTTGCGATAACTCCAAAAGAGCCAGCCATCCAAAGACCAGTTGCCGCTGCGGCGATGCCATTTATAATATACCACCTCCTCTTCTTGCTTAGCTCCCTCTTCGTACCTATCTGCGTGCTCTGATCTGGCGTCCATCCAAGCCACTTCGCCCAGCCCCAAGCGACGTGCCAACAGCCCACTGTAAGCAATGCGGTAAATCCAGCGAAAGATAGTGCAGGGTGTCGGGCAAATGCATGACTGACATAGTCGAGATTGACATTACTACTTCCACCAGGATATGACTTCGGTATCGCGCGGTTTATGACCATGTGTCCAAATACCAATGGGATGAATGCATATCCTAGCTTACTGGTTCCCGAAGCTTTTGGCCAGAACTTCGTGAAGAAGCTTGCTTTATTCTCTCTGCTGTGCGCCTCGCCATATCTCTTCGCATTCTGGTTACGTCGCAGCACTCGAATTGCAACGCCTGAGAGGATGTGGCCCCATAATGGGAGAGCTACCATGATGGGCTCAAGAGCTCCTTGATAATAAGGTCTGGTAAGGAGGAGATATGGTTCGCTGGCTGGAACGCTCTGGGTGATGAGAGGTATTATGGAGGTGTTCGTGATGTGCATCGTCGCGAAGGCGGAGAAGACGTATGTGGAGTATGTATTATGGAGGTGTTCGTGATGTGCATCGTCGCGAAGGCGGAGAAGACGTATGTGGAGTATTTCTGTACTCTTGCTAGGTACCATATTGCAGAATGCTGTGAAAGCCCGACGCCTGTTGTCGATCTTTGTGGTGCTGCTGCTGGTTTCTCGTTGGCATCGTTGGCCAGGTCCTCGGTCGGGATCGGTTCGAGCTCGTGCAGCCCAGATTCTAGCCGATCGAGCTCACTCATGTCCTCCATCTTGACGATGAGGTTTGCAACACGATGCTCAGATCTTGGGGGATGTTGCTGCCTTTCACATGCAGCTCACCGTCCAACCGAAACGAAGCAGTTGTCAGCGACTCGGACTGCAGACAGGGATAACAAACTTTATTTCAGACCCCTGTCCGCATCACTCAAAGCTTCTCCCCGACGCGTCAAACTTCACCATCGCATCTCAGTCTTCGGAGGCACCGAGAGAACAGAATTGTTGAATTGCACGCACATACAAGACCAGAATGGCTCCACGGGGACAAGCTCTGCCTCAAGCAGCAACTGAGAGCGCACGAGAAGCTCGAAAATCCTTCTTCTGTAAGCCGTGGGAACGTGGTCATGTGGATGGCGTGTAAGATGCTGAGTACGCAGGTGAATTGTGTCAGAAGGGATATGCCCGAATGAACGAGTTCGAAGCACACGAGGGCTCATATGACCATCAACATCGGAAGCGTCTCATGGAGATGCGGAAACTGACCAAAGACCCATCAGCTGCGGCCAGAGCTCGTGCAGCAGAAGAACGACAGGATGCTGAGGGTGGTTTGAAGTCCATCTCGGTGCCTTTGGGAGGAAGCAGTAGCTCTTCAAGCCAGAGTGGCGTGAAGAAGAAGCCGGTGTTCAAGTCCACGCTGCAGCCGCAGAACGCAGCAATAGTGCCGTCGAAACCGCAGCTTGCCAAGCCCAGTCCTGAGGATCCGGCGCTGGCAATTTTCAATGGATGGCAAGATCGCGCCTACGATCCGGAATATCCGACCAAGTACGTCCCGCTCTGAGCAAGAAGCCATATGCAATCTTGGCAAGTACCTGTCACTTTGGCCGGGAAGGCCCTTTCGACGCGGGTCCATCCATTGTCAATGGCAAGAAGGGGACTGCTCATCGAGCGCCGTGCACCCTTCTATTCAATTGGCCATCTAGATCATCATCATTGCATCGCCAGCAGCCCTTTCTCATCGCCCATACACAACAACTTGCATCAATTCAGCATGGCAGACACTACAGAGAGCCCGAATGTAACGCCGGCAAGGGTCCGTATTCTACATCTGTTGGCGCGTACCGAGTGCTAAAGCATCCTGTCACCAGCCTCGTAGTTTACTTGACCTGCCTCCCGAGCTTCGGGAGCCCATCGGAAGGCTTGTCATAGACCAGCAGGTCAGTAAGAAGTTGTAGTCATGTCCACTGCGGGGGCGAACTGACGAATGGCTCTGTAGCAAGATCCATTTACGGCCGAACGCATATGCAACATTGCCCGCCATCCTCTCTTGCGATTGCTTTCGAAGTCGGGGATGTTTTTCCAGCTTCTTGTACAGGACTTCCAGCAGCCAAACATTACACGAACCTGCAGAATTCTGAGGAACGAACTGCTTCCATATTTCTACTCGCACCGCATCACGATCGCAATATGCCCTCTGTGGAGTCAAGCCATGTGCGATGGACTGGGGCGCTGGCTTCGAGCAATAGGACCACACAACCGACGGATGATACAGTGTGCATTCCTATACAAAAAGAGGGAGCTGAAGCCGGTCGATCTGAAAACCCTTCTCAGACTTCACGATGGTCTTTCGATGACCGATTTTAGGCTCGACAAAAAATCCTTGGCAGGGCCAATGGAGTACAAATTCGGGAAGTGGCAAGCACACAAGTGCAAAGCTTGCAGTGCCTACAAATATACACGTAAAATCACCTTTGACCGTGAAAGTGGAGAGAGCATACTGCGGGACACTCACTAGGAAAGGCTGAGCGGTCGAAACTTTCGCTAACCAGAAAATCTTTGGATGTAGTGGCGATCATGGTTGAAGTAGCAGTTGTATAAGAGCTTCGTTTCCGCAGGAGAACAAGAACAAGTTGTCCGCTTGGGTTGCCGCCGTTGCGTGATGCCGCCGCCATCGTTGGTCAAGGATTTTGATTGCAACTCATCACCCCCACTGACTAGCATCGCCCAGGCACTGAACCACTGCAAGACCTTTCACCATGTCCATGACTGCTGCTACGAATCGGCCGACGTCTGTCGGCATGATGCACGACATGCCTGCCTGGTGATACGGTCGGTTGCAGTGTTCGAGTGGCAACGATATGTACTACACTTCGCGGAGCTAAACATCCATGTGGCGAGGGCTTGGCGCTCAGTACGTGCAATCAACAAAACAGAAGTGAGACATGCTGCCACTAAGCATCTATACATGAGCAGGGTGGCGATGACTTGGGTCAAGAGGTGAGCCAGGAGACATGGAAAGCAGCTAACACCCTTGGTCGGCTTCTTCGCGGTACTACTAAAGTCCGGAGAATCACGCCGCTCTAGGATGTCTATCCCCTTAACCGCCAACCGCCTTCTGGGTGAAGTCCGATGAACTGTTGTATAAGATCCGAGTGACCTGGTTGGTCAGATCCGCTTTGCATAAGTACGCACTGACAGAATTTGTATGAGAAGTGGAGCAGAATCCCAGTTTAACCGACGAACGCTCCGAGGCGACGAGTTAACCAAGGGGATGATCACTGGATTGCTAGAGTGGCGAAACGGTCGCAACCATCATGCCGATGCTCATGCTCATACTTTGAAGAATCCTCCGCCGTGTCTGAATCAATCCGTCACAACTGGCCCTCCAAGTTCTCAAGCACGCTCTGCTCCAGAGACTTATATCCATCCTGACCATACCACTCTTTCAAAAGCTTGGCGCCAAGCTCATTTGGCACCTTGCTGAGATCTTGGCCCTCGTTTTCTGGAGGTGTGGCGACGCTCGTGATATCTGGACGGACTTTTTTGATGGTGTTGACGATCTGAGTCCAGTTGAAAGGGACATTAAAGGCGAAAATCCGCTCGTTCTTGACGGCCGGGTCCAGCGCTGCGGCAATGATGTGCAAGCGAGCATCGTCAATCACGTCGATCATGTATTCTGTGAAATATCGTCAGCATCAATCGTGATTTTCACGATAGGTGACTTACGTGGCCCAATTCCTGGAATTTCTCCCTTTGCTACAGATGGTATTGCACTACCCGTCGCTCCGGGCGATCCACCAGGCAGGATCTTGCCCATGTTGAAGTTAGGTAGAACAGCATTTGCAGTGAAGCCTACCTTTTCCTCCTTCACAAACTTCCAGAAAGCCCTCTCTCCTTCCGTCTTGGATGCTGAATAGACTGCAAAGGCTCGGGACTGCTCGTATGGTGGCGGGGCCCATGCCAGGTCGATCGCCTCCTGGTTCCAATCTTCAGCAGTCACCGAGAATTCCTGGTTGAGCTTCGGCAGCATGACAGCGGTAGAAGACGAAGTGAGCACGAATCGCTTGATAGAAGGCTCCTTGTGGGCCGACTTGAGGATCGAGAGGACACCATCCAGGGTTGGCTTGATGACTTGATTTGGGTCGGCGCTGAATGAGGTGTCGCTGGCCACATGTATCACGGCATCCACGCCTTTCACAGCCTCGTCAAAAGCGCCGTCATGCTGGAAGTCTTCTACGATCGCAGTCGAGTAGTCGGGATTGTTGTTGAAGACTTTCTTCGTCTTGTCGGCTTTCTCTTGCGAGCGAGCTGTGCCGCGGACTTTGTATCCGGCTTCAAGTGCCTCGTTGACGACGTGCGAGCCGATGTAACCGGATGCTCCGGTGACCAGGATGAGAGAGCCCTTTGGAAGAGCAAGCTCATCGCCTTTGGTCTCCTTGAGCTTGGACGCGAGTTTCTCGATGGTCTGCATGGTGGATGTGGAGGTGCTTTCGTGAAGTCCAAAATTTTCTGTCAAGTTAAAGTTCCCTCAATCTTCGGCGAACTTGAGCCACAGCAGGAAGTGAGGTTACCCAACCAGTCAACTGCAGATTTATAAGGGAGGACAATCAAGGACTTGTAATCTTTGCAGGCGCTATCTCATTGTGCATGTCCAGCGCAAGTGCAGCACTTACCGCCATGATCCGCTGAAGACAATTGGATGAATCAGCATACTAATGATGTAGTGCAAAATTCAAAATAGTGTTGATCTCGTTACTCGTGGCATGGTCTGCGAACAATTGAGCACAGCAGCTCTGCTCCATACGAGCCCAACAAAATTAGCTGCTAGGATGTTGGCCTCCGATAATAGCAGGTATGATCTTGTTCTGTGACGAGCTTGATCGTATAGAGTATATACGTCTCGACCCTGACGCCCTGAAGCACGCCAAACATGATCGTAAGCGTTGACCCTGCTTTGTATACAAGTATGGCAACGACATTCCTTCAAGATGGAGTCTTCCTCCCCTAAACGTCAGCCCTCAGAGGCTCTGAAATGCCTTTCAAAAGTCTTATATCCAAATTACTGCCTACTACAGTCTCCGATGCAGCGCGGAGTGACAAGATTTGATCAGATCTTGATTTCCGCCCACCGAAGTCGACTATCCTGTCCCTAATCGGTCAAGACATCTTGGGCCTCTCAATCACTTAAAGAGTCCGGTCTTAGCACTACGCGTAGGGCAAGAGTAATAGATCAAAGAACTGATGACTAACCATAACAGTTGCACACTCCAAAACCAAATGTCTGTAGTGATGTTCCACGAAAATCGAATTCAAGCTCTCCATTCGCATTTGCTTTCAGCCAGCGCTCGGGTCTGAACTCTGCGATGTCGTGTTGGACGTTCCACATCTTTGCGTCGCCTTTGAAGTCTTTGCTCGACTGGCTTCGCAGGTTCTCGTTGATCCGGAAGACATACTGAGCTTGGATGAAGGAAGTGTAGACGGTACATGCGAACCCGTGCATCGTCAGTTGAGATGAAGTCTCTCTGAAGAAGGCGACTCACAGTGGTGCCAGCGTTCAAGCGGCCAGGTCATTGGTGAGCATTGTGCGGTAGGAGAGGTATGAGAAGCCGCCGAAGAAATTTGAACCGTCAAATTCTCGTCCTCTGTGTCATGTCAGGCGCTTGATCTCTGCTGGTTGTGTAGGCTTGATGTAGTGATTGGAGAACTGAGTTGTCTGCTTCCCCTAGTCAAGAACGAAACTGTCCAGGTTCAGTACCGTAGAGCTGCCCATGAAAAGCTTCTCGTGGAATAGGCTTGGGGTACGTTGCGCGATAAGGAATGAAGGCTGAAGCCAGTGCTTTGGCGAGTTATCCGATATGCTTGTTCGAATCGCCGACATAATATTCCTCTGACGCGTTCGGGAACTTCGGGGATCATCACATCCTTGGAAGCGATCCCAGGAATGTCCCAGTCCGAGCCCGTGGCCTCATCTGACATTCGACGTCTGTCACGCATAAGCGTATGCCCGACTTCACGTCCACAAGCAATACGATCCTGCTACAGCCGAGATGTGACAAGCTGTCCTCATTTCTCCAGGAGTCCTCCGGCGGCATTGTTCTAATGTCAAACGAAACCGTTCGATGCCGTGCTCATGGTTGATGAGCCCACGATCGTCTTCCCCATGAAAAGAGATCTCCAAAAGACCCGTTTCCATATGAAAGGACTTGATTAAATGGCTGGTAGGTGTATTCCAGAAATCTCTCTTCAAAATCTGGTTGAGAGAGGAGCAACGCCACCCGAGGAAACTTTGTTGCCAGTGCCGATCGCTACAACAACCAGTTGGCCAAATGCAGAGCAGTGTAGAACATCTCGAATCCAAGCGTACATCCTGAATTGCATCGACTTTCATGGCCTCGAGATAGCCAAAGACGCTCTTCAAGTACTGGATGCAATTGTTCTCGCCCATTGTGGCCATTGCGGCGGCAATCATAGGCCATGCGCTGGCCTCCAGCTCCACTAAAGCACTTCATGGCGCAACGAACAACAATTCGATTAAGCTGATGATTGTTGGAGACTCGATTACGCATGGACATGAGGGCGACTTCACTTGGAGATATCGATTGTGGGAGTGGATGAAAAGCACCGATATCTCTTTCTCATTTGTTGGGCCATACACAGGTTCGACCGCCGAATATTCGTAGAGGCCTTTTGTCTTACCAAAAAATTCAGGAACGACAGCGCCCGAAGCTCCGCTCGCTCCGGAAGAAATTCACTCTAGCAAGCCCATACCGACCCAAAAGGATATCAATGATTATCCTCGAATTGAGTGGGGATATGCTGAAAATGCGTCAAAGAGCTTTGATGCGCATCATTTCGCTACCTCTGGCTACAAGGCTGAGCTTGCTCGGCATGCTGTCGCAGCACAAGTCAAGGCGAACGATCCTGACCTTTTGCTCATAATGCTTGGCTACAACGATCTTGTAAGAAGCACTACCAGAAGAAAGCGCAATTGACATTTGAGATACTGGCTGACCAGTGTGTTATCACTCCTAGGCGTGGGGATGCAAGCAATGGACTAAGGCGCCCTTCACCTGTACTGAATTCGCAAACGCTCATGGTAAGTGCCTAGGCTGGCCTCAACAACACGCGGACATTGACCGCTGGCTTCATTCAAAGATTTGCTCCCTACAATGAAAGCTTTGATCGACAATGCTAGAGCGGCGAAGCCAACTCTTCAATTTGCCATCGGCAACGTAAGCCCTGGGCCTGCGCTGACCGAGATTCCTCTTCGTGCTAATCAGACCTGCAGATCATAGAGAGAACGATCTTCAGACAAGACATACACGAAAACACCATGGTATACAATGAGCTGTTCAAGGACGCTATTCCGAGCTGGAGCACAGAACAGTCACCGGTCTTTCACGTGGACGTGGCTTCCAAGTATACCTGCGGACCTTATCGTCCTTGTCCCGCAGCTTTCGATGGACTCCATCCGAATGCACTCGGAGAATATGAGATTGCTAGTGCTTTTTCTGAGGCTCTGGCGCGTGAGATTGGCATCGGCAAGGAGCCACTTCGCATCCCCAAGACTGTCACCGACAGAGCTATGCCGCCTCCTGTAGTCCTACGAGCTTTTGGCAATGCAGCTGGTGCAACACTCACTTGGGACCGAATCTATGGAATTACTGAGTACGAGGTCGCTTCGCGCATCGAAGGGCAGGACTGGAACACTGGCATGTTAACGTCGAATCGCAGCGACACTCTTAGCTCAACAGCAGGCATCAAAGTGGACTTTTCGCTGCGCTCCTGCTACGGGCAATGCGGGAACTGGTCACACACCGTGAGCACGACGACAGGCCTGAGTTATGAGGGAGACGTTTCCAGCTCTGATGAACATATCGGGAGACCAACTTCGCAATGGCACGGCTTCACATCTACCGACTCGCTCCTAGGCGCATTCTATCTCTCTCTGCTGGGTGGGGTAATCTATTTCCTTTGGCGATATGTCACAAGACGCAACATCAAGGCGCTCGTGACAAGCTCCAAACCATGGATGACTCGGAGATAGGCAGACTTATCTCCAACGAATACAGCGGTTGAAAGCCTTGCTAGCCAGAAATGGGGAAATTCTGATAGCCTTCCGATGCGTGAAGGCGCCGTAATTCTGAATTGAGCGCATGCACATACATCCTAGTGATGTGGGTTTACAGCCCCTAACTTCTAAGAAATGGATATCGTGTACATTGTATATTAGTACTGGTGTACACCCGTGTATACACATCGGGCATGCCCGAATACCAGGATATCCGAGCAATATTAGGCACCTTGGCGGGTATTAGGTAGGTTATCAACGTATCCGACAACTCCGACTTGTGTAGATACAACGAGCCCGCCTAAAAGAGTCGTGTACATAGTGTATTACAGACCGTGTACACCATCCACAGGTTGGTGGACCACATCACTATTACATCCAGACTATGATTCCCCCGTCCGGTGCTATACATGCTCTAACTATCCCTACAGACTCCTCGCGGAGCTGAGATTGGTCACTTTGAGTGTTGGCTATATTTCTCGATAGCAAATTGGTCAAAACGGGCCGGCCAGGGGGGGAAATAGTCCGTACCGTATGGATTATTGAAGTGCCTGATGCCGAGAGCCAGGAAGAATACCTCAGGCTTCGGGATTTTTACGGCGCCGATTTGCCGTACAGCGTCTGATCACATCGGATTGAAAGTGACTAGGGTCGGACCGCTGAATAACCAGTTGCTATTCGCTATAATCTATGAGGAGCAAGGGTTTAGGGAATACCCACTTTCACTCCGATGTGATCAGACGCCGTACATATACATAGAAACCGGGGTCAATGGGCGTGGCATGTACTGTATGTATCAAGGTGCCCTTAAAAGGCAACGTGGCACTAATACAAAGAGGTATGTACTAGGTACAATGATTTGGATTAGTCGGCTTGTTCCGACATCATACAGCGTCTTCGCACATCGGAGTGAAGTCAGTATAACCCACATCTTGAAAAGCAAGGATTACAGCAAATAGTCACTTATCATTCAGCGGTCCGGCCCTAGTCACTTTCACTCCGATGTGCGAAGACGCTGTATGAGTATATGTATGGCACCGGAGTGACTCTGAATAGCGCACCCCCCCCCCCCCCCCCCCCCACATTCACTAACACACCGCTGTGACACTACGGCACGTGTTTCGAAAGGATCGTTAGATCGGGGAACAATAGTAGTGAGGTGACGATAGTTTGACACCGTCGAAGACACTCATCTGCTTTGTCGCTAATGCTTCCGCTTCACTTTTGCGCGAAAGATGGTTCAACGGAGCATATGAAATGGCTCACTTTTCTGAGTCGGTGGCTGAGACTGCAGTTCATCTGTGCATAAACACTCATGTGCCACTTCCCTTTGGTGCGAAAGATGATCCAACTGAGCATATGAAACGGCTCACTTTTGTGAGTCGGTGGCTGAGACTTCAGTTCATCTGTGCATATCAGCTTCAGAGTAGTCAGAGCGGAGCCTATATGGCTTTCAGCATTCTCGAAATAGATGAATGGTAGCAAGAATACAACACCCACAGTTACCTTCAGCGACGCGGAAGCTCTACTAACTAGCCATGTACCCGAAGAACCTTTTGCAGCGGCCGAACAAGTGGACCGAATACAGCATCACAAAAGCACCGCTGGCAATTCGGAGCAAGAAACGCAGTCGATCGATGACCGAGACTGATGGTGGATATGATGAGGCGCCTCCAAAGAAAAAGAAATTGTAGGTCATTCTGCGGGAAGATGATATCCTTTCAAACCTGACTGAATTGCTGCAGCCTGGGAGTTCCGGAAGAGGTCGTCCGATTCGACGTCGGACCGGCAGGATCCAGTCGTCAGCTCTTCACGGTTCCCAAGAAATTGGCTGTGGATCACTCCGCTGTCGTTGCTCGCAGGTGTCGAAGAAGCGGACCAAAGGACATTGTGATCAGACTGGAGGATCACACACCGGAGACATTCCTACTTTATGTCGATTTTCTCTTCGGCCACCTTCAGGTTTCTGGCTCGAGCTCGAGCTTTGAAGCCGGCGATCGCATGCTAGAGCTGGTTTGCTTGCATCTGCTTGGTGAGGATCTGGAAGATAAGGGATTGATCGAAGAAGCCAGAAGCCAGCTGCACAAAGCAATTTCACAGAAACAACCATCTGTGGATTTGGTCAATCACGTCTATGCCTGTACTCTGGTTGGAAGCTCCTCGCTACGACAACTCTTAGTCAGAAATGTCGCAAAGCACCATTGGCCAGCTATGCGTTCCAGCAGCCAAATCATACCCATGGTTCACAGGATAAAATTTGTCGCGGAGGTCGAAAAGGCATCCAAGGAGATGGTGACTTTGAGGGGTGCAGATGCTGATTTGCGCAACTCCAGCGATGCTAGCAAGAGCTAAGCAGTGGCTCTCGAAAACATCAGGCAGATTCATTGGCCCTGTCGTTATTGGTGAGCAGAAAGAACAAAACCTCAATCATTAGCCAAGCATAATGCAAGGATATTGGGATCGAATGTCTCTGAGCGCGCTCTTCGGAGACGGCGATGGACGGCGTTTGACAGTGGCGAATAATGTTATTTCGATCATTCCACGTAGAGAGTAGTCGAAAGATGTATGCGACTCTGAGAGAGGTGCGAAAGTGTGGACCCCGAACAGCTGAATTGCTTGCCCTGCATGCAAGTAGTGTTAGTGAAGCTTAAACATCATGCAAACCCACCGAAATGGCCAACGCAGGTGGTGTCCAGATTATGGAGGTTCCAGCCAGGATGCAACGAGAGACGCGGACCCTGCGAATTGCCATCTGGGATTGCTCTAACACCAGCCATAAACGCAGATCAAAGCCATGTTGCTGCGGAGAATTGGTGGTAGTGCTGAATGAGAGGGGGCCACAGAGACATGAGGTTCTAGAATAGCATATCCAGATGAACAGCGAGCGTGCGAACTGTGGCTCGCACGAAGCCTCTGCAACGCGAGGATGCGATGTGGGGTAGAACCTAGGTTCTAGAACTAATAATGCCTTCAGGTTTGCTTTGAGTTCAGCTGGACAAGACGTCTTGGTGCTTGGGATGTGCCGTAGGCCCGCAGCAGGAACCGAAGCATGCACCGTTGATGAGCACGTCAATTTCCGGCGGTTGCCGCATGCACCAGATGTCGATTGACCAGGCCAGCATGAGTTTTGAGTTGGGATGTTGGCGATCCAGTGCAGTGGACCTGGTAATCCTTCCTCTGATACGTCGAGCGTACCGCCACGACTATAGTATGGTGACCGCAATGGATACCCCCCCTCAACAAGCGGCAGGCTGCCGCCATGCCTGCAGTCGAGCTGGAGGGCTTTGGAGCATGCCTGTATAGCGTGCACGTCGAGAAGTATATTTGTCAACACATCCAGGCCAGAGCGCTCAATCTCGGTGATCCCACTTCCAAACCGTGTGGTATCACCTACTCGTTTGCCTTGCCTCTCGATGAACAAGCTCTAACGTGCTCACAGTCACTGGTGTTCGACGAATCTTACACCTTGGTGGCTCGAACGATGCCGCACAACTTCCTCATGCAAGCATTGCGGCCGATCGTGCTCCCACAATCTGCTGAGACCCGTATTCCTCGTCGCACAGATTGGCTTGTCTTGTGCAGCAATGTGCGCTGGCCCCCTTTCCAAACTGTCAAAGCATCGTGTGTCTAAGCTTGCTTCGCGCGCAGGGTTGCCCCAAGTACAGATTGCGCTGTTGGTGCAGCCAAGGACAATGAGATTGCGCAACCACCACGCTCTGAACGAAAAGGCTATGCAACGCCAGCATTGCCAGAGTTCAAAAGGACCGGCGATCGAGAAGTATATCAGTTACCACGACCAGGTTCGAGAGAGGCATAGCGTGGGCGGGAGAGTGGAGGCCCAGGCGCGAGAGTCTCGTGCGGTGAAGAGCCTTCGGTTGCCTGGAGCGTCTCAGCCTTGCCCGAGCTGCTAGCAATCTTCACCTGCCCGAGGCGCGATCACATGTCGGACGACGACAAGGGCTAAGGGAGAATCAAGCTTCCAGTCAAGACCGCAGCATCGGTATGCGGTCGTCTTCTTGACAAGAACTTCGAAGCGCAAGGTCCCGCGGCCATGAAACCGGTACGGCAGGCAGTGTGGTTAAGCCTTTCAGTGCTTGCAGCGTTAACCGCGCCCGCGCCCGCGCCCACCCCACGCGCTTCGCAATCCGTAGCAACCCTACAGACAAACACAGGGATTGCGCCAGATTAAGCTGACCAGCGCACGAAGATAGAATTCCAGTCTCTCGTCTGGGCTGGTTTTGGTGGAGTGTGGAAGGTCTGTACGGAAAATCACAGTAAAAGACTTTTTTATGCAACAAGATAACAATTACACTATTATAATACAAATACCTGGAACAAAGACTTCTTAGCCTATGGTTTAAAAGCGATAGAAAATTGTAATGTAGTTTTTTTTTCAAAAAATTTAGGGTTAGACTTGGCTTTTCTAGTCTATGCTAGTAGTTCTATTTAGTAAAAGGTTAGTATTAGAAAGTCTTTCTTAAACAAACAATCTATTTTTCTTTTATATTTATAGTATATCTAGTAGTAGCAAACAATAATTTTTTTTAAAATACTAGTAACTGGTTAGAGTTTCTCTATAGTAATCTAGAACTTAGTCAAAGTATAGCCACTTTGAGGAATAGTATATAGAAAATATCTGTGCGTATATATACACGTAAAGTTACTGTAAGTACGTAGCGTGCTTATCGAATTATTCGCGCGCTAGAAGCTGTGTGGAGCAGGCACGGTAACAGATCGCGTTGCTTGCTAGCTCTGGGATTCCCTTTTGTCAAGATTCGGACGGCTCGGGTCGTCCTTTTCCACTTCCTTTTTCCGCTAGACTCCAACTCTCGCCTCCACTTGTGTTGCTTCGATGTCCATCTCATTCTCCCGGGATGCGTGGCGTCTGTCACCAGCGCGGTGGACTTTATTAGAGCCGACCACCTCATGCTTTGCTATATTTCTTGGCGCAGCTTGGCGCAGCATGGCATCAAAAGAAACCCCTCTGCGGCAGCGAGCCTTTGCCCTGCCTGACATGGCAAAGTACTAATCGGCTGTTGCTCAATCACTATCTGGCTATTGCTCAAGTATACCAAAACTAAGACAGTCTATGCCCGGATAGCGGATTGTCTCTGGTCCGATGCGGATTTGGAAAACGACCAGATCCAAGAAGATCTCTGTACGAACTTTACTTGGAATCAGAGGTCCCATCTTCCGGATTTGTGCAGCCCAGACATATTTTGTATAGGAAACTGGGCGAGCAATGGCCAGATAGCCATTCAGGAATAGCCGCTTATCCTTTGCCCCCTAGCATGGCTGAGACGCTTGCAAGGGCACAACTGGCGCAACTGTAACTTCGGCGAATACTCACCAATAATGCTCTGTGTTCCGAGTCGAATCTATTTGCGTACCATTTGGCCCTGGCCTTTATTAGTCGCTATGAGTGACCCACGAGTGATCGACGCGAAGTCGGCCCATTCTAGGGAGTAGGACCTATTCACCTCTTCTCGGATGCTTCACACGTGGTGGTACACAGGCGTAGACAAGGAGACACTGTGCCAACGCATTGGTCAGGCATGAGACTGTCTACGTTGGGCTGTAGCGACCGCGTGCGGGCAATTGCGCAAATTTGACAGTACTGTATGTGGACCTGCACGGGAACATTATGTATGCAGCCAGAGACTAAACCCCCGTTCCAGAGATTGAGGTACCACCATTCCGGGTTGCAATTACAGTCTTGAAAAGCAAGTAATTCCTCTTGCAGATCTCTGCGTCAAACCATACCACCACTGGCGCCGGTATACCAGCCATTTCGAGCTCTCGCGCCGCTCTCACAGCTGGGCAGCCTCCAAGAAGATCTACCGCTAGACCGGACCGGCTGACGCTTTGTCACCCTTGCTATCAATTCACCGCCACCCACCATAGATATGGACAGCGAGTTCCCTGATCTGGATCCGAGAAACGACCTTTATCACCTGTCTACAAACGCAGACCATTTTGGTCCTGCTCTCACCCCTCTGGAAGCCAGAGACCCGTCGCATATACGACAAATCTTTCCTCTTCCGCAGTCATGGCAGACTCAAGCGCATCCATACGCTGTGCCCTCGGATCATGGGCGTGGAAGTGTGGGACATTCACTAGGTTTCGTGGATGAATCGACTGTATCGCATGGAGCCTGGACTGGAAGTACTTCTGAATTGCTCAATTGCAGACGAGAAGTTCTTTACGATTCAAGTTTTGGAAGTCGTTGTTCAATGAATGGTCGAAGCCGAGAGAGTATTAGGTCAGAGGACGCATCACCTTTAACGCCGACGAGAGACTCGCCGTCAACGCATGCCAGACCGCATGCTGCCGTGGAGCAGAAGTACCGGCGTACTCTGAATAGTAAACTTCAGCAACTCAATTCATCGATCCCGCTTACTGGAAAATTTGCTCCGCCTACCGGTGAGACAGCCGAGCTTCGACCAGACAACGAGAAGTCAGAATCTGCCGCAAAACCTGCGGTTCTTGACAAGGCGATTCAGTATGTCGCTCACTTAGTGGAGACTTATCACAAGTACGAGGACGATATTGAGGCGCTAAGGGAGCAAGTCAGAGAGTGGCTTGGGGAGGACGACTTCTTGCACGACCAAAGCATGGACAACAAGCAAGAACCTCTAATGCAATAGTAAGCATGGCGCTGTGACATATCGGCTAGGTGTCCGATGTGCTCTATCTGGCATTTCTAGAGATTGATCTGGGCAGTTACTGTCCTCGAAAGTTTGTACAAGGTTGCAAGAAGAAGACACAGAATTCTGCGACTTGTGCTTTGATCTGGAGTAGCAGGCATAGCTGTTGAACATTGAATCCGATTCAATTCAGATTCATATTCAATATTGAATATTGAATATAAGGTTACTGAATATTCGAATATTCAGTGTATTCACTCGCTGTGCCTTGCCCGACGAAATGCTTGCCTTACTATAGGGTATAGGCTACCTCCCAGCTGTCCTAAGATGCCCCCTAGCTATTCCCGAAGAAGGCTTGCCTAGAAGGTCTTAGATATCGAACGACGAAGACAGCTAGGTAGTATAGTATATGCAGCAGATCCTTAAAGAGAGCCTATACAGACCCTCTATTAGTAGTTCTAGCTAGCCTTGGCAGGGAGCTACCTGGGTAGGACATTCTGGTAATAAGAGATCGCATTGCATCCCCTCCTATAGCCTGATTTATACCCGAATTCGGGAGGTCTGATTCTAGAAGTATGCTTCCAGCTCTAGGACAGACAAAGATGTAAGTATAGCCTTTACTATGGACTTGACTATATATAGTACTAGGTCTAAATTGAATATGAATATTCACTCAAATTCGGGACTGAATATGAATATAGCTAGTGCATTTTGAATATTCGATATTCAACAGCTATACTAGCAGGCCATTTCGGTAAACTCATAGCGACTTCGCATCTTATAAACGACACTCGATATCAACTCCACTGTCTTTGATCAATATTGGATTCTTGAGAGCCACCGGCTTCGTGAATTATGCCCGATTATGGGATTGTTAAGGAACGTAAACGTGTTGTGCGGTATAGCCATCTTTTCGCCATCCTGAGCTGAGAACGGACTGCTTGACCTGTGCGCTATGAAGCACGTCACTCCAGCATTCCACGTCCGGCCTCCAATGCCTGCTCTGAATGGGCTAGCCAATGCAATAGGCACAATATCCGACCACAGGTGAGATTCTACCAACACATTATTGATGTGGAGAAGTCCTTGAGGCTCATCAATGGACATCCCGCGGTTTGCAGGGATGCACGAAGCAGGGTGCATTAACAAGGAAGGAACCAGGCTATGTAGCCTCGTGCGTTTTCTCGAACTGGAAGGTTGTTATACCATACAGATCAGGTAGAAAGCTCTGAAAGCTCTGGACCATAGAAAGGGCGCTAAGCATACGGGTCTTTGTCGGGAGATTCACAAGCAGCGATAGCTTGTCACTGCTGCCAGGTCCTTGCCCTGACACGAGATCGCCACGTGCGGGACAGTCAAGTCCCCTGGACTACACTTCTGCGAGGCTTGGGTCCACAGATCTTGCCGCGGACTATAAGCTCTGTTGCTTACTGGCCGATGCATCGCGACAATCGCAGCGCTAGACCCAGAATATGGCATGCAATCATAAGCTACTCCGCAAGCACGAGCAGGCTAGGAACCTCGCCTACCGGAATGAAACAACCAGGTATTGGAGCGACTTTGAGCTCATTCATCAACTCCGTTACAGTTCGGCAGACGTAGGCATCGACCTTGTACATGTCAACTCCCATGGCACGTACACTGCATTCTCGCAACTAGCTACGTGCAATTTTGCAACCAACCGCGCTTGCCATCCATATCCTTCCTCCACACGAACTTTATGAACACCAGGGCATATCTCTTAATGCCGCTGGCCAGTTTCTCGGGCCTTTGGTTTGTGCGATCACTTTTTGCGACGACGAAAAACACTCTTTGACAATGGAGTTTGGTGGGGATACCACAGTCGCGAACGCCAGCGCTTACCAGAATGTGTATAGCAATCCTTACAAAGGTGAGATGACATCCCGCCCACGGTCGATTCCTTCGCTTACCAAAAACCAGACTACTTCTTGCCTGATGGCAGTTCTGGCTATCAATATGGACAGCAGGAATACCCATGCCGTTCATTCGAACCCAGCTACAATCACTTTCCACAACTCGTCGATGTCAATGATGATCTCTGTCGATTTGGATTCAACTCCCCGTTGTATCGCACATCCGGGAGCCAGATCAGCCCGCCAGTCAGTCCACGGGACACGACATCAATAGACTCAAGCATTTGGGATGGAAATGTGCCACAGAAGCGTAGGCATCAGTCATCGACCGTTCCAAATCGGACCAAGAAACAGCATGTGAGTCTTCCAGAAGAGGATTTTTCACATGGTAGTTCATGTTCGCTAATGAGGTGGCAGTCACGAAAGGGGACATCCAGCTCCCAGGCGCATAGTCCCTCAAGCGATGCATCAGGTCAGTCGTCCACAGATGGACATCGGCCGCACTACGCCGTTGAAAGGCGTTACCGCTCAAGCTTGAACGAGCGCTACGCCAGTCTGGCTCGCTTAGTCGCCCAGCTGGAAACTGTCGAGATCTGTCAGGCCGTCAACCCCGACTTTCAACTGCCTACGAAGCTAGAGATTCCGGAGAGCGGCAGCGAGAAGCCCGCTGGCAAACGTCAAAGTAAGACGACAACGCTATCGGTTGCCATCGACACGATCGCGTTGCTTGAGAAGGCTTGCGCACGCAAGGCACAAGAATGGGAATGTGTCGCATCAAAGTTGAATGGTATAGTACGCGCTATGCCGTCTGAAGCGGCGATTGGGGCTAAGGCGAAAGAGCGCTCATGAGATTGACGTGGAATAATCACTGTCTTGTTACGTGGATGAAGATATTTGATACACAGGGAGTTTGGTGTGAAGCGTTCATCAGACACGGCCGAACAGTAAACGCCAAGCAAAAATCTTATACCCAATAAGCAATGAACACAGACGAGATAGCCATCAAGGTATGGCAAAGCATATCGCATTTTCATTTTCAGTGTGCCAGTAAACTCTGTGGCATGTTTCCACGAGTTACGAAAGAATTTGCGACGCTTCTCCGTGTGCACAGTACCATCGTACGCACATACCGCACGCACATACCATACGCACATGACCTGCTCGCTGAGCCCACAGACGATCGAGCCGCTGAGACCTGCTGACTGGCTGGTTTCGGTGGATCTTCAGGGCTGATCGGAGCCCGGTCGTGGCGACAGCTTTGTGCGCCGCTGCAAGCAACCTCAAGGTAATGGAGCAAGATGACTAGGACCAGGAGGCGCTCGCCATACTTGCTGGGCGAGGAACAGACCAAGCCATTCGCAGACCCAGCAGCGTTTCGTCGCAACTCTGCTGTGCACGTGTCGAAAGCAAGAGATGCCCTTCGAACACGACTGAACTTCTCCTGCCCAATCTCCCAACGTCCTGCTGGGCTTTGGGGTGGCTCGATGGGCGCGATGGGCGCGATGGGCGCGATATCGGTTCACCGACGCTTGCTCCAGACGTCAGGTATCCATGCAGCTCATTACAGTCTGCAGAATCGTATTCATGAGAAGCATGCGCGACTGCCATGTGAAGTCACGCGCTCGAAGCCGATTAGTCACCGCACGGAAGCCGATTGTCGACGTGAACATGTAAGCAGTATGATGAGGAGCTTCTCCGAAAGCTGAGGAGCGCCGTTCGGGCCAGGGACGGATGTTTGGACGGCTTCGAGAAGACAGGCGACTATACACGACCCAGGCCTGCCCACGAAGGTCGGTTGGGCGATGCAGCATAGAGCACGAATGCTTCGCAACAACCGGACACCGAGTGGCTAGGTGTTTCTCGCGGATAAGACCGTTAGACGCCAAGCGCGCGAGTGTTTCTTCCACCATGCTCCCTCGTCTTCGCGGCCACAATTCGCCGCTCCAGGACGTTCGATACTTTCGGAAGCAGCGACGCATCGAAGCTTTCCAGTGCACAGTGCGCGCGCGACGGACAGATTCATAATTGCACGATGATGCCCGTAATGCCCGCGATGGGGTGTCGCGAGCATGCCACCATCCGCGTCCAGTGCGGTGTTCGCTCGCACCTTCGCAATATTGCCATGCATGGACGGTGTTTCAACGGCGGCGAAGGCACACGGCACGGCAAAGGGGCAAGTGCTCTCGTCTGCGCTATCCTGCACGCCGCAACACGTTTAATTGCCAACACGCTCGCCTGCTCTGCGATGGCCTATTCGCAGACGAACGCGCTGTTCGAGGCTATTCAGCAGCTGAGGTCGACGTTGACCCAGCGATCTCTGATGCGGACGGGGAATCCCATGCTTCGTGAGAAGTCTAAAACCAATCGGGCCTCGGAAGCGGAAGCGGAAGCGGGAGCATCGCGATTCGCGAAAACGCGAAACCCGGCAATCGTCCAATCGCTTGCTGTCGGCACGACCCAATCAAATCAAATGGATCGGACGTGGGGGCGGCGCTTGAGCACGCATCTGCCACAATGCTTCTTCAAACTTCACTTCACCTCGTCTGCCGGCGCAGCTCTCGTTCTCGCTCCCGCGCCGCCCGTCCTCGTCCTCGTCCTCGTCCTCTGTGCGTGCATCAGAACTCCACAGAACTCCACCCACGAACCAACGTGTCTATGACACCGTGTACACAATGCTCGAGAGTCAACTACCGGCCGACAAGGGCAGGCATTGCCTCCCCAGCCATTCAAGCTCAGCCAGCACTAAATCATGCCTGCGGCGGCGGCGCGAAAAGAAGACGTAGTAGTGCAGCATATGGCTGACTCCCCCTCGAGACTTTAGCCCCAGTCCTGCATCCCACGCTTTCACGACCGGCCCTCTGGTTCCACCATCTCATCTGATGACTCGAGCTCGTCTGCCTCGTCAGTACAGCCAGGCCTGCCATGGGTTTTCTCCTCATCTCATCATGCAGCACCGCAGCAGCCAGACACTCCTCCAAGCCATTAGCAGGCGGCCACGTAGTCCACACTACCACTGCTCGCCACCCACATTTTTTTCCTACGACACGCACAACAAGAACAGGAAACCCTCGTCATCGCTGACCGAGATCTGGCTTCTTGGCAGCAATCGATCCTTAGCTAGCAACTTGGATCGAGCCGAGAGATAGAATCTCCCCCTAACTAAAATTGTGCCTAGATCCCTCCTGATTTGGCTAGTGCTAAGATTGAGATCGGAAAGCGCCGAGGCAGAGGCAGAGCTTGGCTGTTATTGCACAGAGTGGGTGGCTGTTTGGCTTAGCCCAATGCCCGAGGCAGCAAAGTCTTAGCGAGGATACTTGCTCCTATGCTTCCTTCTGCCCTAGTCTTCTAGATAGAACTAGCAGGCTATACAGTGCTAACTCGTCTTCTCTCTAACCTATATAGAAAAAAATTCTAAAATTGCTATAAATATACGAAGATAATATACTATTATTTAAAAGAATGTTTTTTAATATAATACTAACTCGTCTTCTCTCTAACCTATATAGAAAAAATCTCTAAAATTACTAGAAACATACGAGGATAATATACTATTACTTAGGAGAATTTTTTTAAAAGAACTTTTAAAAAGTTAGAATAATTTTTTTTAGTTTTTCTTCTAGTTAAATTTTTTTTTAAAAAAATTATAGTTAAATACTAATTTTGTTTATTTAGATCTATTAAATTATTTAGAAGTCTTAGTATATCTATCTTTAAGTAATCTTTTTCTTTTTTTTATAAAGGTTAATTAGAATAGATAATTATATCTATAGTATTTCCTATTAATATCTATTAATTAAATAAACTAAACTAAAAAATCTAGATTTTTAGATTTCAATTTCTAGTAGTTTTAACAAATCTATAATAACGATTTTAGTTATATAAATTTCAGTTTTCGACTAAATATAGATAAGCTTAACGACCTAGAAATTATTATAGTTCGTAAAGCTTCGTACCTATACCCTCTGTTGGGATTTTAGTAGTATTCTAACTACTAAGGATTAATAAGGCCGACGAGTAGAACTAGTTAGCTTACTAGGAAGTGCTAGCCTTAGCTAGTAACTATTATAGTTTACTAGGCGGCTATTTTGTAGCATATAGTTATTAAAGGAGTAGATTAAGGCATATAGAAGCTATATAGATTATAATATAGGTTAGGTAAGTAGGTAGATAGTATACTAGTAGTCTAGAGCGTATAGTATTCGATAAGGTCTATAAAGGAGGGAGAGGAAGGTTAGGAAGTTAGGCTAACGCTAAGCGCTAAGCCCTACCTAAGGCACTAAGACCCTAGCTTTACTTAGCCGATTATATACCTTTTTATATACCCTCTAATACAGATTATATCGTAGAAGAATAGTAAGCAGACTATTAAAGTAGACTATAAGAAAGACTCTAAGCGCCTAACTAGCGCCTATAGGCTAACTACTAATAACTAATAAATAGGACAATAAGGCTATAACTATCTACTAACGAGTAGTGCCGTACTTTGCTATAATTGTAGTCTAGACCCGCTATAGTATTATCTATACTAGACCTCTAATTACCTTAATAGTTATCTATAACTACGCTTCTTTAGCCTTAGCCTATATCTTAGTATCTATACGGGTAGGTATAGGCGGCTTATAGACGACTAACTATACTATCTACTAAGATAGGCTAAGGAGCCTCGCAATCCCTACTATAGTCTAGCGATTAGTAGTAGATAGCTACTTTATAATATATCTCTTCTAGTAGGATATAGCTATACTAAGTTATACTAGTTCCTACCGTCTGTTTATTTTAACTAAGATAGAATAGTATAGCGTATATATACTTTCTCGACTTTACGAGTTATACTAACTCCTACCGTCCGTTTATTTTAGTTAAGATAAGATAGTTTTTAATGTTACCTAGGTATATAGTCAAATAATTAGATTAGGCATTATTGCTTAGAGCATGAAATTCTCTTGCGATCCGAGGAGGATCTAATAAAGAAGAGTTGAGTGGCCTCTAAAGGCAAAAAAAGCTCATAACTCATTGCCTAACATGCCGTATTTTGACCTTGTAAAGCCGCTTACACTCGGAGGAAACAGTAGGTTCTAGCAAGCGACAGCGCAGTGGCCATGCACCGGCATGATCAGGCAATGGTTGGGCACCACGCGTGAATTCAGTGCTATGCGAACTCTTCCGACAAAAGCTTCCGTTCTTGCACAGGATTGCTTGTCATCAAAAATTTCCTTCTCATCCATCCGCTGATGACTAACGGTCCGCCAGGTGATTTGGAACAGTGTCGAGACGAGCTGTCCTAGCGTCTCATTGCCCATTGAGTGCAATTAGATGAACGTGGGATTGATGTGTGCACGTACGAATGCCATCCCAATCATCATACGTATCAACAATCTCATCAGACGCCTGCAAAATGTTTTCCAGATCAAAGCGGATCGCGGAACCAAAGGTCGATCATTGCTTCTCCTTCCGATACTCATCGATGGCTCGCCGAAAGCGTTGAAACAGCTCCAAGACATGTCCAACTGTCTCATTCCCCTTCAGCTGCCATATTCCACAGATGGACGTCCTATGCATGGCTGAATCCGAGGCCAATCTTCGTCCCCCTCGAGGAGTATTTTGTTCGGCTGTGGTCCACCGATTAGAGTTGGAAATGTTGATATGTTTCCACGACGGCTCCTGTTTGAACCAAAGCGGTAAATGCCCACCCAAAGGTTGCTGTGCGAGACAGATACAAGTGGTCTAGCCAGCTCCAGTCCATCATAGTGCTGTAAGACAGCAGGACATGCTCGACGGGCCCTGTCGAGTCATAGAAGTTGGTGGCTTCCCAGTCGGACATCATGGAACGTTGTGCGCTGGCCACCGATGACAATCCATTCCAAAGGCTGATGATCGGGAAAGAATGGCGACGTGGAGTCTGAGCTGTTATCTCGAGGCTCCAGAACCATAAGTCTCTTCGGCTTGACTGAGCTGTTGATAGTGTCGTGGAAGTTCTTGTCGACGCGTTGAAGTTTGAACAGCGACACGAGGTGTGCATCGAAATGTCCAGGCATCGAAGGATGGTTGTTTTGACCACCGATTCCACACTGCACGCACGCCCCGAGCAAGATCTCCTCCAGGAGCTCTGGTATGGCGAGGACTCGAGAAGTCGCAGACGGCGAAGGTGAAATTGGCTCAGGCCTGGCCATGATGCTGTACTCCTCTCGTCAGCTCTGCCAATTTTCTCTACATGGCCCAGAGCTCTTGTACATACCACGAAACGCGCCACTCATATGCCGCGCTCTTTCGCGACATTCTCAAAGTCCAGTGACAGTAGGAAGGGCAGTGAGCGCAATTGTAGAACATGGCAGAAGTGAGGGTTGGCTTGGTGGGGATATGCGGCTGAGTTGTATACAAATGACAGGAAGTCGTTGTAGTACAAGACTGCGAGGGTCATCTGGACTTCTCTGAGCTTCAGTTGAGCCAGCAAAGGACGACCTTCGCATCTTACCTGAGCATGAAACGTATTCCGCGTCCATCGCATGCGCTCCTGACAAATGCGCGGAAAAGACTCCAGTCATATCACGCCTAGCACGCCAGAACACTACCAGCAAGCTAGAAGGGAAGAGACACCAGAATCGTCGCCTGGTATGCGAATTTTCGGTGGGTTTCGTGAATTGTTCAAACTATTCATATCATCATTTCTCATGCAGTATCATACAAACCTTGCCACAACGAGGACTCATCGACACCGTTCCCGTTCCCATCATGGTCATCCTCGCCAACTGCTTCCTATACAATGTCCAAATCGTCATCATCGCTATCGACAACCGGGCGTTTAGTTGCCTCGCCAGGCAAAGACTCTCTGCCGGGCACCTTGATACCTTTGGCTTCGAGATCGAATCGAGCTTTCTTCTTGGTCGGACTTTGACTTCCTGAACTTCTTATGCTACTGTGCTGAGACCGGGAGCGGACAAGGTTTGTTCTCGACTGTCTCTCAACATTGAGCTGTATTTGACCTCGCTCGGGAGAAATGTGTCTGGTCTCCTTTGGTTGTAGAAGTCCTGCTTTCTTCGCACCACCCCAACCCATTGGCTCAGATGACTTGTGGGTTGATGTAGCTGCAGTTTGATTGCCAGATGGGATCGAAAGAGCTCCAAGACCGAAGTGCTTCTTGCGGTCTTTAGCAGGTGAAAGATGCGCACTCTCCGCCTTCTTGCCGAGCAGGCCTAGCTCGGCTGCTGATTTCTTGTCGAAAAGTGACTTGCGTGCTTCTTCTGCGGCATCAGGCCGGGAAGAAGTGGTAGTGGACAATGTCGTGCTTGATGTCGTCCTCGTGTGTCTAGCACGAAGATACTCAGCGCCAACTCCTTTACCTTTGCCCAGCTCATCGAGCTGTCTTTTTAGATCTCGCTCTTTCTGTGCATCCGCTATCCGCTTCCTCGAGGCTTCCTCCTCGGCCTTGGTGTCATAGATGCGTTTGTCATCGTCGTCGAGCAGAGTCGCAGCGCTCTTACCAGTGCCCGCAACATGATACAACTGCCCGTACTCACGATTGTAACTGCCAGGCATCTGCTTCTTCCTGAATTCGGCGTCTTTGGCTTTCTTGCTCTTAGCTCGAAAGTCCCTGTCGCCGTCATGGAACATGGTGTTGACCTCCATTCGACCTTTGCGCGCTTTTTCTATCTGCAGATTGATGTGGAATTCGCATGCCTCTGTCTTACGCTTATCGACCCACTGCCCACATTGCTGACCGTCCTTCTTGATGCTGACGCAGTAGCCAAGATCACGTGCGACACCCAGTTCCATGACAGCGTCTTCCGAGCTGCCAAGCTTCAAAGAGAATCGTCCGCTGTGCTGGCTACCTTTTGGGGGCATAATTGCTGGGTTAAGAATGGCGAGCAATGTACCAGGTGTCAACTTCCAGAACTGGTTGAACGCGGTGCCAAATAGAAAGCAGTCGATCTCCCATTTCAGATCACACAGGTGCAGCACCATAAACTTGTTTCGTGGCGCCTCGAGATTGTCTTTGGCCTGATCATTCGTTCGGTGAGTCTCGGCATGATCGAACGGTGTGGACTTGGATGCGAGGATAGCATAGACAACATAATCAGACTCGCAGTCAGGTGGCTCGTAGTCAGGCGCTTTGACTTCTTTGAGCAGTCGCGGAAGGGTATATATCTCCTTCCCGTCCATCTCTCTTGCAACTAGGGCATGCGAGATATGTCGCTTGCTCAAGTGAATTTTCGAAAAAGGGTCGTAGCCAGAGTCGGGATCTGAATTGCTGTCATCGATGTCCAGAGTATCGTCAATATCGCCGTCTGCGTGACCAGTGCCTTCTGCATGTTCGTGGCCTGCGTTGATTTTAGAAGTAGCGCGAGGTTGATTCTGGGCGTCTCGCGCTGTCCGTATTGACCCGGACCTTGAAATGCGAGTGTCTGCACTCCCTGCTCCAGATTCCAAGGCCCTGCCTGCAGATAAAGGCCGTGCATTATTATCAGCCCTTGATCTCCGTGTAGCGGAAACGGAAGTAGCTCTACTACTGCTGGAATCGCTTCTGGCATGGTGACTGAAGCCCGAGGATCGCACGTGCTGCAAGCGATCGACCTTGGCCTGTTTCTCTTCGTCCTTGAGTTTGCTCTCCGCAAGCCGCTCGCTGAAACTCTTTACTTTTGGCCGCTCCTCTATCGGTGTGGGTAGAGATGGCGTCGATCTTGAGCGCTTGACCTGACTGCTATCTCTGGCCCTCTTAAGAGACACATGGGAGGCATTAGGATTGCTGGTCAAGCCAAGTCTAGCTCTAGCAGGTGAGACGGGCTCGTGTATCGTCCTCTGCGCTCTCGCAGGCGACAACGGCACTTGGAGATTGGGAATTGGTAATGCCGACTCGTATAATTTTCGCGGACTGGTTGCTCTCGGTGCCGGCAAACCTGGTGTACTACTGTTGTCGCTCGATGCATCTCCGCCCTTCTTTTTGGCGCTCTTCTGCAGCTTCTTCAATCGCAGCTTCGCCTGAATTTCCTGCAACTGAAGCTGCAGCGTTTCCTCGTCTTCTTCCTCCTCCCCGTCGCTGCCCATATTCGCGAGGTCCTGCAGCTTTTGGTGAGAACTGCGCAGAGGTCGCCGTCTCGGACTCGGTGACGGACTTCGTTCTTGTTCACTCCGGCTCTTGTAGCCCTGCCATTTCTGTCGCCCGCTTGGCGAAGAAAGTAGCGCTTGAAAGGGTGATCGAGGCGGCCATTGGGTGTCGTTCTTGGAGGGCGAAGTTTGGGCGCGAGGAGATTCGCGAACCACCACCATGTTTATTCCAACATACAGCCAACATATACACTATCCATGCCGCACTATCATTTCCTGTATTTTGTAGGCATTGTTATTGTTTTGGCGTAAGGAGGTCTGGGAGTCGGTGGCCCGGTCGTCGCACAGACAAGGATCCGTGCTGATCGCGGACGTGACGCGACGCGTCTTCCGAATTCAATTGAACTTCATCTTCTGCAACACCACCACCACCACATTGACCACAACGACTTGGCAAATCCTCGCACCTTTGGATGGACAGCACATATACCATACCTTGGAATGGCGCGAACACGGACTGGAAAAGGCGCAACGAGCAAGACCGAAGACACCACTTCTAACAAGCCGACGTTGAAGCAGCTGGAGCCGAGCGTGGAAACACCACCTCAGGTCTTCATACTACCTAAAGATGTCTCGTCAGACGCGCGAATACTGACGATACCTAATCCTGCCACGTTTGCGCCCAGCCGTTATCTAATATGTCCCGAGAAAGGCATATACGAATTCACAAGAATCGCCGCCCCGAAGAAGGACCAGAGGAGTTGGCTGCTCGCGCCGAATCGCAGCAAGAATGTGCCGGTGAAGCAGGCAGACGAGGCCTCTGACGACAATGGCTATGTACTACAGGCTCCTGACATGATGCTTGCCACGCCTGTAGACCCACTGTTCCTGGTTTTACCTGCTCTTGTTGGAAATGGCAAGAATACTGCACAAGAATTCCTGGCTTCGACCGACTTCATCGCCAAGCTCACGGAATCGGCACCGCATCTTGCCCAAGTCCTGGAAGCGCCTCAGTTGGAGAGCATGTTCGCCAATCGCATTGCAGCAGTGAGCGATTGCATAGACATGGGCGATGAGAAAATGTATGCTCTCGCCCTGCCAAAGCTTGTCAAGGAACTGGTGTCCAAAGCCAAGCGTATGGTCGTCAGAGGCCTTCCACCCAGCATGGAGGACCGCTTTGTCAAGCAAGTTCTGGATGTGCCCGTGCTCAGCATCAAGCGAGAAGAAAGCAACATCAGCATTGCAGAAGATCAGGCCCGTGCTGCTGACAGCCAGGCCTCATATGTGCAAGAGTCGCAGGAGTCTTCGACTTCTGCAACAACCGTATTCAGCGCGTCGACCGCAGCAACGTCGATATCCATCATGGACGACAATGATGGATCGGTGCCTTCATCAGGAGTTATAGACCTGCTCCGACTCCGGGTAGCACTCAATTTCATCTTATCATCATACATCGTCCCGAAGCTGCGCAACAAACTAGAGCCTCTTATCTCAGATCTAGCGGTATCGGGACAAGACTTCTCACCTTTGGAGGAGCATTTAGAGAAGGTGACAGCACTCAAGAAGGAGGCGCAGGCTCTCCGATCGCTCTCCGACAACATCTCACGGAAGCGCGCCAATGAGGACGATGATGAGGTCGCCGCTGCCAAGGCAGAAAAGAAGCGAAAGAAGGAAGAGGAGGAGTCAAAGAAGAAAAGCATGTCGCTCGGCCTCAAAAAGCTGGCAAAGGCTGACACAAGCGGCATGAAGAAGATGAGCTCTTTCTTTGCAAAGGCGCCCGCCAAGAAATGAATGAGCCCGTCATACGCTATCAATTTATCATCACATCTAGCTCCAGATTATGTGCCTCCTCATGGACGGGGATGATGCCGAGAGCACTCAGGCGGGATTGCCTAGCATCAGCACTGCTACAAAGCGGTGTCTAAGAACAGGCTAGGAAATGCTTGATGCTGGCCGTGAGATACGCGAACACGCGCACGCGCACACGCACGCGCACCCCCAAACGCCGTCGACGAGGATGATGGTGGGCAGGAGAGATGTGATGACTTGCATATTACTGCTTTGGTATCTGGATACGAGTGACGGGTCATTGGGACAGTACTCTGACAGCTGTACTGGGCTGGACCTTGATGAGATGTCACACCGACAATCACAGTGTGTGTTAACTTTGGGGCCGTCTGATGTGACGCGACGCGACATGGACATGGATATTTGACTCGTAGCCTCACAGCCTCCCACGTGTGGTCCAAACCCTTGCAAACCCGTTCCAATCGGACGTCATCCATCACTCGGGCGAGCAAACAACGATCATATGATTCATGGGACAATTCCATCTCGCTTGTCTTGCCAGTCTGCGTTTAAGTGCCCCTTCAGAGTCAATCTTGCGATTTGCTTCGAGCATGTTCCGTGAGCGAGACCGGGTTCCGGCCCGGCATTCACGAAGCAACCAGGAACAAGCGCTCCGATTCTAGAGGTAATAATTGCGTGATCCGCCTTTCGCGCACCTTGTTGATCAAAGGTCGACTCCGTGAAACCGGTCGACTGTGTCAACGGTCTCGAAGCAATGATCACAGTTGCACAGCTCGGCGGCCGTGTAACTGCGCAATGCCATTGCCGCGACATCGACAAAGTTACTCAAAGCTTCTACTGCAACTTTGGATCTTTAGACCAAGCTGCTCTTAGAGACTCTTGCGCCACGTTGCGCCAAGAAAAGTTGGAGTACCTTCTCAGATCGAGTTGATATGATCAATCGGAGGAGCAGCAAATGCCGAAACTTACTCGCTAAGCAGGCTCGGCAATTGCCGCAGCTTTTGGAAGTGAAGTGTACACAATCTAAGCTAAAGAAGTCTACACAAGAAAGAAGGACACCCAAATGAATGTGTATGCCAATGATGTATACGATGTAGTCTGCGGAGTCAATGACTCGCACAACATGTTCGCCAAGCAATTTAATCCGCCGGCGGCGACAAGGGGGGAAGGCCGCAGTCCGAAAGAGTCGTCGCAGGCTTGGCACTAAAGGCAAAAGATGCTTGGCAGAACGCGGTTAGACAGATCGATCAAGCTTAGCTTGAGTGGACGTCACCTCCTACAGTGCGAACATCCGCATCGCGAAATAGGTACCATCTACCACATACAGCGTCTTCACACATCGGAGTGGAAGTGCATACATACCTGCGGTCTGCGAACTGCAGTCATCTGATATGTTGCACCCTATGAAATCCAGAATTGAGGAACTGAGCGCTTTCACTCCGATGCGTAAAGATGCTGTACTGTAGTAGTATGAGAATGCCAAATGCATCTACAAGTAACACCGCTACAATACTACCTTCACTTCTCCTCGGACGTGGCGATACTTCAATATTAATAACAGATGTCCTCCCATCTCACTACACCTTACAGACATTATCCCCTCTACCCTCTCGAAAGCATTCACCCCAACCAAAACTCGACCACGTCTTCCCCCTCCGCAACGACTTTACAAAAGAAAACATCATCCACCTGAAGGCACAAATAGCCTTGTCTAAATATACTTCCCTTACGACGACGGATTTCTAAAAAAGTATAGACGGCTATAGTCCTACCTACTAGGGAAGCGGGAGATTAGGTACTCGTAAATCCCTCCCTCCCTCCCTCTATATATATATCTCCTTCTAGGTCGAAAAATCCCTCGGCATAGTCTAACTCTCCGTCCGCCTAATTTTACGAATAGAAAAAAAAAAGAAAACAGGCACTAAATCTTTATCTAATACTATAGGATCGGGGAATCGCGATAAGAAGAGTAAAGATACGTTTAGGATTCTTGCCCGATGCTAAGAGTATAGAGGTTAGGGATTATAAGGAATTTGCGAGTCCCGTGTTTGAGGGTTCGGATCCGGAACTTAAGTGGGTGGGCCGGTCGGTTTTTGTCGGGGAGGGGAGGTGGGTTTGTGAGGAGGGGAGGGTGGCGGTTGAGTATAGGATCATTTGGAGGGTTAGGCCGAGTAAGGTTGAGGGGTAGAGGGGGGAGGGGGGGGATGGTGATAGTGATGGTGATGTTATATTGGATTAGTAGTGTATGGGGTTGTACTCAGGCTCTAGGCTTGGCTTGCTTAGTACATCTGCTTCGCACAGTGCAGTTAGAAACCATTTCAATAAGCTAATCCGCTCCTTGTTTCTACTTTGTACTCCAATCAAATCCTTCTGACGAAGCGGCCGCTGCCCTAGTCGAGAATCTTATTTCCCCTCCGCGTAGCCTCCCTATCTTCTTCCGAAGCAACAATTAGGCTATAGACCGGGACAGTCGCCGACGCGACTTGTAGAATACAACCACTGAAATTGTATAACTTTCGTAAAGGGTATAGTGCTAGCAGTAGCTAGGATTCTTCCATCGGCACAGCCTTTGTATGCACGAGTCTCGAAGAACACCATCCGTCTTCGTTGCTTCCTCGAGAAGATCCTTAAGCATAAGTAGTCCATCTTTCTTGATAGAAAATCTGAACAGCGCACGAGTTTGTTCATCAGCTGATAGTGTGAAGCGTATTTCGACGTTGGTGATTGGGAGATTGACGAGGGCTGTAGGATCGGGGTACGAAATCTTCTTGCTGTGTAGGAGATCGTTGATGGCTGGTACGAGCTCATCTGACACTGAGATGATCTCGCCCCTGCTTCTTTGCTTCGCCGCATGCTACTGCCTGACATCTCATCCAGACGCATCAATCCCAGTTTCTGGCCCTAAACACCTAGTTCGCTTAAGTCCCAGGCACCTTATCTCCCTTCCCAGCTCTGACAGCTTCTCTATCTTCAATAGAAGCGAAAAGCATTCCGTAGACTATAATGTCCATACTGATAATCTCCAATTTCTCCTTACTCCATGACTCGACCTTTCGCACAATGCTCGCGACATCTCCGAGGCCTTGGGTGTAGTCCACCTTCCCACCAGGCGATGTGATGGAAGTGCCTAAGCTATGAAGCCCTCTCACCATTTCCGCCAGGGCACCCACGGTAAACGGTCCGGATAAGCGCAGACTCGAGTAGGGGTGACGTATGCTCCACCCTCCCACAGTTTCCGCCCGAAAATCGATATCAAGCTGAGTGGCGGGCAAGTTGTGAACAAGCATCGCCTCAAGCATTGGCGAGCTCTGGCCACGCAGGAGCTGGATGAAGCCTTTCTCGAAATCTCGGGACAGCTGTATGATTGTGCGAGCTCTGGTTCCGTAGGTCTGGCCATGTCGTAGGCCCATCCTCGGCTTCATAGGGATGCAAGAGGATACCAGCGGGCTGAGTGACGATGTGACTGCCATGACATCGATCCAAGCGCGGTCTCCGTGGAATGTGTCGCGAAGAACGTCGGCTGTCTCACTAGTGGCGACGAACTTGCCGCCCTGCACCGTCCAATTTTCAAAATCGTCGGAACATCTGACCAAGAGCTTCTGCTTGATCTGTGCAGATCCGTTGATGGTGTTGCGCCAATTTTGAGCCACGCGCTGGCATTTGATGATGTTGACGGGCGGGAGAAAGAGTAGTATGGCCTCGAGTAGCTCTTCGGTGTTGAAAACGCCATTGCGAGCGGCTTCCGTATCTTTCCGCTTGGTACTACGGGTAAAGGCGCGGCGGACGTGTGTCGAGGTGTTGGTGACTGTCATGTGTTGCTCAACTTGGCCGAGTTCGAGGGCGCGCGCACGCCGTGGTACCTGTCTCAACATGTCAGATATGAACGAATGAGCTCCTCGATATGGTATGTGCATGCTCGCCTTGTTCTGTGTCGCGTCGCTATCAGCGGCGCGCTTGCGCTTTTGTTTCGCCATACTTCTGAGGTTGTCTCAAAATGGATGTTGACCTGTGGGATAGGAAGTGTTGATAGTGCGCGACGTCCCTTGCGTGCCTTCGGGTGTTTGCAAAGAGTGATGTTCGAAAAGAAAGACGGGAGGCAGGCTTGGCTCCAGCTTTCACATGCACCAACCGGCAACCTCCGAAATTCCGGCTGAATCTTGGCAGCGCAGCGTAGCGCACGTGTTTTGATGAAGGGATAGAAGCGCTCAAGAATTTGCGCTTAAGTGTAGGATGGTGTATGTAGCAATCCAGTTTCGATTTTTTACTTCTTCTATCCTCTTTCTCAGCAACATCTTCCATTTCCGCAGCTGGGTACAGGGTACCGGTGGCTCTTCGACATCGAATCGAATAGGCGATGGCAAGACTCCGCTAACGAGGGATGGTCGAGACAAGCACACCCATGGAGGGCATCGAGGGGATTTTACTTCTTCTCCTTCTCACCAACCTCCTAAACACCTTCCGCAGCTGGGGGGTACCGGTGGCTCCTTCATAATCGAATCGATCAGGTCGAAGAACCAAAAATATCGCCCCTGGAAAGCGACCAAAACAACCGACGAAGACTTTCATTCATGCACGCATACATACATACAACTCTCATACCAAAAACTTTCCAAGCAAACAAGCAATCATAACGTCATATCCACATAAATCCCATCCAACCCCCTTTCCCTTTCCCTTTCGCTCGTCCCAATAAATGCACCTACCAAACGCCTAAAACTAAAAAGCAATGGCAATGCTTGCTTGCTTCCTTACTAATTCGGGGTATCTCAACCACCAAAAACACTGCTCCAAAAACACTCATAAAGAAGATTTCCCAACTATCCTATCCTAGGACCTCGAAGATGCCTCAGCATCAGCAGGTTCTGTAGATCCTTCTTGTTGTTGCACTGCGGCTTCTCGAATTTCCGTGGTTTGAGCAGCTTCGGGCCGCGAATCCTCCTGGACAGGAGTAGAAGTAGACTGTTCACCTGTGCGTCGTGTTCGAATGCGGAAAGCGTTTCTTAGTCGACTACGTCTGCTGGTTTCGGCCTCTGCGGCGCCGTCAGTCTGAGCTTGTTCTGAGGCGAGATGTCGTGCTCTGTATTCTCGTAAAGCCCGAATTCGCTCTTCGCGCGTCATGCGCTCTGGTCGCGTCACGCCCATGAGTCCTAGGATCAGACTGCGACGAACACTTGAGCGTCGGTGAGCACCTTCCAGCGGTGGCGCGAGCGGCTCTCCCTCAGGCCTGATGGGATTTCCGAACTCGTCTGTGTCAATCTCTTCTGAGTCGGCGTCTGAGGGTCGGAGATCTATTCGGCATAACGGGCAAGTGCCGGAGACGTTCAGTAGCCATGGGTCTATGCATTCGGGATGGAAGCGGTGATCGCATGGGAGCACACGCTGATCTTGTCCGACCACGAAATCTTCTGTACAGATACTGCAGCCCTGACGATCCTCCTGCTGTGCGGAAGGTAGGCGTTCACTGCTGCCAAGGGCGGCGGCGATGCCACTCTCTTCAGCAGAACCGTCATTCGTTGCTGGCTGCGCATTCGCTTCTCGAGTAGTGCTATCGGCGGCGGTCGCTTCGGGGACATCGTCCTTTGGCTCATTATCCGTCGCACGTGCTTGTTCGCCGACGTATTCGACGACCTGACTGTGTCGGCCATTCTCCAATTCAACCTCGGTCGTCTTAGGTTCATCGTCTTGCCGGTTGCCCACCTTCACGATCGGGATCGAATCCAACATTGCCCTCGCGATACCCCGCGCTCGTGTCTGTCGTGGTCGGCCGATGCCATTGCGAGGTCCATACCTTTCGGGATGTCTGTGGGCTCGAACCGCTCCAGTAATGATGATAACAAGGAACAGGGCGGTAATGACTCCCGTTATGGAGTAGAGAATAATCATGGCCACGGCGGTGCTGGGCGACGGCCCCAGCGGGTTCGATTGTTGCGCATTGCTATCATTGCCCGACCCCGAGCTCGAGGTGTTGTTGGTAGCATCTCTGGTAAGGATAGTTCCGTAGGTTGCATATCCACTGTTGCTCCCATCCATACTTTGTACGACCTGCAACATCTCGATCGACTGATTCTGACTCTTGAACGTGTAGATCCACCGGTAGCTTCCTAGATCAACGGCGTGGCAAGTCTGGGCGGTTTGGGAGTAGAAGACGACGGCAGCGGCATCGTGGTGCTCAGCCGTCGCAAAGACGTCGGACGGCTGGAGAAGGCCAGAATACGGGTCGCACGAGATCAAAACAATGTCTTCGGAGGTGACGTTGAGTTGGTCGGCGGCATCTGCCAATCTTATGAGTCCGGTCAAGCCAATACCCTACACGCGACCAGCATCAGCACTCTAATTCACTGGGCCCAGTTTCTGTCTTACGCGCGTTCCACACCCGCCCGTGACCTACCGGTATGTCAGTGGCTGCTCGTTGGGTAAGCGGAATGATCGGGAACACGGCGACGGGTGAAGTTGAATGCCGCAGGCGCATCTCGAGAGGGCCACCATAGTTGGGGTCGTTGGTGGTGTTGGTCGGCGCAATCGTCTGGGCCGACGACGGCGACGTGAGCGCCCCGGCCAGGGTCGCTGTTATCCATATCGCCGTCTTCGTGAAGCGGTCCATGTCGAGGAACACACAACAATGCGAATGCGCGACAGTCGGCCAGCGCTTACACAGGCATTATTTGCCGCCCCGCTCCGCCCCGCCACGCAACGCCCCGCCACGCCTCTATGACATGTTGCTGAAGATAACACAAAGACTTGTTGCGATATGCCGCTGCGCCCGCCTTGTACATACGGTCGGTACTGTGCAGCACACAACGAGACGTGGAGATGGATGCTGAAGACTGCACCGCACGATTGCCCGCTCGCCGTAACCGTAACCTTACCCAAGCACCACCCGGTCCGGGACAGCAGAACCATCGCGGCGTCTTCGTCTTCGCTAAATAGCGGTGGCGAAAGCCCTGTTCACATTCCTCTTCCGATTGGACAATGCCACCTCGGATCTTGGTACTCTACTATTGCCGACGCACACCACGCCGAGAGTCTTGAACTTCACACGCGACACGACACTACGAGTCAAGAAACATATTGACAACCACGACACAGTCGATAAACCAACAATATCGGGCTACGATCGCGGTAAACGGCGAAGCAAAGTATCCGTATCCAAAACCCCTGGTTGTGCGTTGTGATGCGGGAAAAGATTGCGTATGGATACAAGATGACTTCCCCTCCCATTTATCCTAGCAAAATGCCATCATCGTTGACTGATGATGGTCAGATACATACGTACATCAGAAGCACATGGATACTAAATCACGCATCGTGGTTGATGCGCCTTAATTCGCACGCAGTGAAAAGTAGCGGTCAGCTGTCAGTTCGTGGAGATCCCCCAACCACCTCTTTCATCGGCGCGGCATCAGGTCTCGTATGAGGACTTTTGCTGGGCCTTTGCCAGCCAGTCGCGCATGCTGGCATGCATTCTGCGCTGTCGAAGCGTCTTTGTGTTCTTGGCTCGTCTGAGTGAAGACATGGCTTCGCGCGATTGGATGAATCTCTCGTTCCGTGCCATTGATTGCGCTTCGCTTCGCATAGCATGGCTGATAGATACGCTCCATCGCGCAGGCTTCTCGTTCGACAGTTATCCATTGGTTATCCATTGGATTCGATTCGTTCTCATCGGTACTTCGATCCAGATTGTGAAACAGCTCTGCTTCTCGGCACAAATTCCTCACGGTCTCGCGGGCTGGCAGCAGATCTGCTCGCATGTCTGCTCCTAGAAGAAAATTCGTCGCGATCTCTTGGGCTCGCAACTGGACTAACCGCCTTACTACTTCTCCTTTGGCTCTTTCTCCTGCCCTGCCGGACTCCCGCGGGACTAATGACGAATTTCTCCGTCTCTGTGTCATAATGAAGCAACTCCATCTCCAGCTGCCAAAGTGGCGCTTCGGGCAGGACTTTTTCAAAACCTTCAGGTGGTCGATCTCTCGACTTCCAGAATATGCTTGGCCGCTTTGCGCCAGGCGTCGATTCCGGCCATTCGACCACCAGTTTCCAGTCTTGCAGAGCTTTACAATCGTAGTCTCCACGATCATCCAGGCCAGGTCCGTGAAGCTTGATTCGACTTCTCACAGAAGGATGAATATACTCGTGGGTGTGCATTAGCGGGTCGTCGGTGATCCTGCCATTGATCGGGTCTACAGCGGTATATCGACCGGGAGTGCGGACTTTGCTGCCTCCCAGAGCATAGACTCCTTCCATACCGCTGAAGATCTTGCCGAAAGACCATGGTCGGATGTTTTGTTCGGTCTTTTCGTAATATGTTTCGACGTCCTCCATCTGATCATGGGCGTATTCCAGATCAAAATCCAAGAATGGTTGGCATTGTGCCATCATCCATGCAAGTGAGATAGTTGCAATCTGTTGGTCGTCATAGCCGCCACCAACATTGGAATGTGCTCCGGGAAACCAGACTTGACGAAGTGTCGTTTGATTGCCTTCGAATTTCTCCCACAGCGTAGGTGGAAAAGCGAATCGCCTCTCATCCAGTGCTAGTGCTTGAAATGCATACTCGATGTGGTTTCCGAGAGACGTGTCGTAGAACGTTACTTCCTTCATGGACTTGCTCTGTAGTCCTAGCCGAGTGAGCCAGCCCAGCTTCGGAGTTCCTAGGGAGCCCACAGTTTCCCACACACCAACCACTTTCACGGGAACGTTCAAGTGGGTCATGCGCCGCCGCTGTAGCTCGTATTTGTACTGTGGATCCAAGGCGCTCGGCTTGTTTGGAAATGGTAGGTCTGGATGCTTTGGAACGTAGTCGTCATCATGCTTTCGCTGGACATCTCTGAATATTTCGGCCAGGTATGGGAGGCCTTCGTTGGTCAAGATGCCCACTTCACCAATCAAACCTGCTATCGATCGTGCGCTGAACGCGCCACGCGAGAAGCCAAAGATGAAGATCTCATCGCCTGGCAGCCAGTTTGTAGCGATGAATTGATATCCTTCTCGAATGATCTCAGCTAAGCCATGACCGCTGATGCCAGCGCTGTGATAGTAATTAGCTTTGCTCCTATGAGACTGTGGGTCGGTAGGTGCATACATCTTGTTAGTCACGCCACCGCCAGCTCCGACTCCCCAGTGATAGTTGACAATTTGAGGGATGCCATCTGAACTCAGTGGCTTTACGGCGCGAGATATGCGTGTGACGTTGCTGGGGATATGGACGGAGCCGCGAATGCTCCCGCTGCTGGAGTTCAGCCATGATCCTGGTAGAGAATGATCAGCATCGATAGTAGAAGTAGTGTCGCGTGCGCTCCCGAAAGCATGTTGACCCACCATCTTCGCACAGAACGAGACGTTTCCCAGGTCGCGATGGCCCTATGGCGCGACTTCTTGATGTATTGGCCACTGGCTGTGCGGGCGCCAGGCTAGATTCAGTGGCAGAAATCCTGGACATGGCAAGCACGGCGCGCTTCAGCCTCAACACAGCTCGAATGGTGTAATGTGAATGGTCGCATTATTTTGGGCAGGAAGTGTATGCAGAGCAAGACAGACAGGGTGTCAATGGAAATGTAAGGAGAGGTGGTTGTGCGGTGGAAATTATTGATGGAGTTGGATTTCTGCCCAAGCACCAAGCACCGTGGCTGTTGCGAGTCGCTCAGCCTCAGGCACCGGTAGAATACTTACTTAAGCAGAAAGCCCGTGGCTGGGAGATGTCGAGCGGCAGCAGCAGCGGCAGCGGCAGCGGCAGCGGCAGCGGCAACGACCGAGACGATACTTGACTCGGTTGCTGCCACTGGAGGAGAGTCATGTGGCGAGCGATACACTGCGAGAGCTCGCAGAATCGAGTTGAAAGGCCTCCAAGAAGAATGTCTCTCCTCGCAGCAGTGCCATGTCACTACCCACGTGCGTGCCAAGACCTTGCCGGCGGACAGGAGAGCATTGGCTATTAGAGAGTTTTAGCAGCCTCGTACGCTAACACTAACACCTTCGGACATGCTAGATCCGGACACTCTTAGCGGCTCTATTAGGCAATGGTTAAAGCGGACCTATAGAGGCCGCTCCGGTTGTCGAGCGGCCTCTATAGGTAGGTCTTATACCCTTATTTAGATACTAAGTATCGAGAATAGTTAGGTAGGGCGGAAGAGGCCGCTTAGTAGAGACTACATCTCGTACCTATAATACGTAGAACTCGTATAGAATCGCGTACTACTAGAACTGCTCTACTTTGTTAGCATTCCTTAATAAATCAAAGTATAATATCTTAGATAACGTTCTGTTTAGATTCTACTATTCGCGCTAGTATAACTCCGGCTCTAGTAACAGCCTCTTAAGAGCCCTCTACGGCTCCGAGCGACTTCTATCGTAACGACTCGCTAGCTATTAACGTCTTATCTCGTACTAAAGTTTAGACATAACAAGCGGCCGTAAACTATACTAATAATATTGCCGCCGCTTAAAGAGCCGCTATAGCGAAAGCGGCTTAGTTTAAGGTATAAGAAGAGATAGCAAAGCCGTCGATTAAGCGTCTATTAGTACCTCTAGAGACTCCGCAACTACGTACGCTAGTACCGAGTAAGATACCTACGCCTAGTAATATAGCGAGTTAACTAGCCGGTCGATTAAAGAAGAAGAGCGCTTCTTAGCGGCGGAAGACTGCCGTAGCTACGCTTAAAAAAGAGGGTAGTATAGTAACTAGAGATATAGGTAGAAACAGTAGTCGAAGTACTATAAATAGCGGCCTTCTAGTACTAATGCTATATACTAGCGGTCGTAGCGGATTAGACGATAAGGCGTTATTGCTATTAGTACGTATGTTACGGCAGGGACGGTACGCTAGCTAAGCCCGGTATATACTTTCCGTAGAACCGTAGATACTTACCCTAATACTATGCTATAGCTAACCTACTAATCGTCCCTCGCGTAACAATTAGTAGCTTCGCTTTAGTTGGATCTAGATCCGTTTAAATAGTACCCGAGTACTAAACGAACGGGCACCTTAAAAAACCAAAAAACGCGACCGCGAGGTCCTGTACTAGCGGCACCGACCCACCTACCTAACTATAACAACTACCTACGCTCGATATAGATACGATTACGACAGTCCTCCAAATTCCGCATATTATCTTCTATATACATACAACTACACACCGATAGCCCTCCAATCGACGGCGCCCTACAGCCCTCTAATCGCTAGACTAGGCGGCCCGCCTTCCTTATCTAGGTTTGTTTACTCTATACTAGTACCTGCCGAAGCGGGCACCGGTCGAGGCAAGAGCCTATAAGCACCCTAACAGTTTCCCGACTTTAGTCTAGTTCCTTAACTCTATACTTATCCTACATTTTTATAAGATCACCGAGCCTACGCTTATTCTACAAATACGCTAGCTTCCGCACGCCCCGATTTAGACGCCTACTCGTTAAACATCGCCTTTTGCTTTAAGGAGTTCTTAGCTAACGCCGGTTACGCTAAGTTAGTGTACTAGAAGCAAAGAGACCCGCTTATAGCAATCGTTACGAAAATTACTACGTATTATTAGCCCCTAGAAGAATATATACTACGAAAACACTCGGACACTAGAGGCGGTACTACCCTCGGTTTCCCTTAGGATTAGGCAGTTAACCGCTCTTTAGTTACGGTAGCAGCGAAGACGCTGCTTGCTCTCCGTAACGAACTTGCAGTTTTAGATACGATAGGACCTAACGACTTAGCGGCTCCTACTCCGGAACTAGCACTACCCTCACTAGATACAGTAGTGCCTGCAAGTCTAAGTCCGGATACTAGCCTATAGCTACGTCGCCGTCGGACTATTTTAGTAGCTAGTATACGACGAGTTACGTATATACGTTATAGGTCCTTACCGATTGTGTTCCCCCTAGGCCTGCGAGAACTTAGTACCTTAGAGCTGTCGGTCCCGAGTAGTCCTAATCTGTCCTCGCCGGTTTCAGACGGCCCTAAGTAGTAGAGTCCTAAATAGTAGGGTCCTAAGCAACACGGTCCTAAGCCCGAGTACTAGGATACGGAGTAGCAGAGTCCTAATTAGTAAGCTCCGGAGCAATAGAGCCCTAAGCCCGAGCAGTAGGAGCTTCCGGCTACGAGTAGTCTAGAGTCTCTTTTATTAGGTACTAAGTCTTACTAAGAGTCCTCTCTATTAGGTCCTAAGCTTTAGCATCGAGGTCCCGAGACACAGTAGTAACGACCCCGATAATAAGAGCCGTCAATCCTACCCGCTTCTACTAAAGATATAGCCGACATGTCCTAAAATATAGACCTAGAATTCTAGCGTACGGACTTAGTATACGTAGAACCTAGTGTCGAGCGAGACCTACCTTCTCGATAGCAGACATAGCGCCGTAATAGGTTAGTCGACGCTTTCCTAGGTACGGAGGCTAGGCGTCTAGTCGCGGACCGCTAGCGTGTACGCAATGCTAGCGCGGGACTATCCTCCTAAAACTAGCGAAACGGCAAGCAGCTAGCTTACGACAATCCCTAGCCTTAACGCCTACGAGAAGGCGCGCTACGCGAAGTTCTAGCACGCGAGAACTAGAACGCCGCTAGCGCTAACGCGGCCGCTAAAGACGCTAACGGCGAAATCCTAAACGCCGCTAACCTAGCCGTTCTACGTAATAAGATACGCTAGCTGTTTAGACAACTGTCAAATTAACAAGTTATCCAAATATAGTAACTTAGGGATAAAATTAGGGACGAGATCGACTAGTTACGCTAGAGCATCCCTTCGAGCTTAGTATAAGACAGGCTAGACACTAGAAGAGCTAAGCGCCTCGCGCGTGTAGGTTTAAATAAACAGGTTCTATATAAACAAGTTCTATTAGCCCTACTGCCTAACCTAGTCGAGGCCTAGCCTTATTAGTTACGCCGTAACGTAACACGTAACGCCGAGGCTAGACAACGCCGCTATAGCCAAGGCGGTGCGGCTAGCGGAGGGCCTCTAAGCCCGAGCCTAGGTAATTCTAGTACCTAAGGCGGGAACTTTAGCCCTCGAGGTTACCGCTTTAACCCGTACTATATCGACAACTTTTAGTTCAGCCGCTTACCCTATTACAGCCCGTAGCGTTCTTAGCGCTTAGAGAGGTTCGACCCGATAGACATCGGGTACTTCTACCCCGACGCCCTATACGCGGACTTAGATAGCTAGGACATCTACACGTACGGCAATAAGGTTACATTTACCTTAGTATACCTGTTCTTAGACGTAGCTTGCGACTACGCGGCGGTCAATTACGCCCGTATAGTGCGTACTTAGCTTACGAAGTGCCTACGTAGAGCCGCATAGTAGTAGTTTATCTACGAGCTAACGAGCAATAACCGCGATACTATCCGCAGAGGAGAGGGCATTAAGCGCTAGTGTAAGGTACTAAGGGACAAGTTTAGCAGATCTATCGTCGAGGCCTAGGACAAGCTATACGCCGAATCCTATACGGTATAGGACGTACGCAACCGTAGAGCACCCTAGCAATTTATTATAAACTGCATCCGCTATATACGTAAGGCAGGTCTCGAGACAGACCCTAATAGACCGTACGCCCTTCTCTACTAGGCATAGTTACGATTCGAGCCCCGCCTATAGGACAAGCTCGACAAGCCTTTACTAAGCGATACGATTCACACTTTTATACGAGCCGTTAAAGACAAGTATAAAGTATAGTGCCGCAGATATATACAGTCCGATAGCTACGGTATAGTACGAGGCCGCAATAGATATAACGGTAAGTTACAATACCGAAACGCTCGCAATAGCGACCGGTACGCCGATTCTTCGGGCGCGTATCGCGATACTTCTAGTCGCGGTTACGCTAGTAGGTTCGACGATCGGTACGCCGTAGTAGCACGCGGATATCGCGACAATTTAGGTCGCGGTTACGCCGGCGGCTACGGCAATAAGCGCCCTAGAAATAGTAGCTATACTAATTAAAACTAGTATTAGCGCCGAGATTAAGGAAACGATAGGCAAGCCCTAGTAGGGGAAGGACGCTAAAAAGAGTACGCTTCTAACCGTAACAATCGAGCAGAGCTACGTAACAATAATCGGGGCTACGAGGCACGCGGTAGCAAGAATGCTAATCGTAGACGACGATAAGATAGGGGTGCGCGAAACGACGCACGCGATACCTAGGGTTAGTAAGAACGCGGCCGCTAAGGCAATAAGGCCCCGCGCAACTATTACGCTAATAAGTAGGCACCGGAGCCTCTAGTCGAAGAGCCTGTATCTACCCTATAGCCGCGTTCACACTTACGCCTACGATCT